TTTTCAGACACAGGCAGGTGTTCTATATGTAATTTGAATGAAAAATCAATCTCTATGTTATTTAGTTGAAATTCTATCCAAGTATAAATATATGTTAATCATCGGATAAGTAAAATGCTATACTAATCGCTGATTTGAAAGATTTATTTTATGTTCAAAATGAATTAAAAATTAAAATTAAAAAGTGTTAAGAACTTTCAAGTAGATAAATAAGTAAATAGGTTGACATTTATTACAAATATAAAGAGAATTCATTAGCTAGATAAGAACAGTACAATATTTTGGTCAATTGACATTTATAAAAATTTAAATAATAATACAAGGAAGGATAAGTAGAAATTACCTTACATTTTAGCTTTGTTCTTTGTCGAAATGTTTAGTGTACTAAGCATTTGTAATTTAAAACCAAGATTTAATTCTTATTTAGGACCTGGATCTTGTTCATCCACTCACCTCCCACTAAAATTTGACTCCATAGTGACTGTAGGAGAGTCTAACAGCTAACAATGCTGGATTAATTATTGTTCCTATACTACAATGTTAAACTATATGATTTTAGCACTAACAGTTTAAATAAGAATATTAAAATAATAGCTTTAATTTTGTCAGAAAATTTTGGTTATATTTGTGTAATCCTAGAAGTTTATTCTTTGATAGTGTTATTTGTCAGCAACCTTGGCTTCAGCTGAAAATTTTTGTTCTCAGCCCTTTGACATTTGGCTGAAATGTATATTCAGTGCTCCAGTGGAGGCATAATCGGGTATGAAAATATGAGGAACCGCAAAATTAATTCCAGCTGATGGCATTGGGTAAGTCTAATTGAGAAGAGGCATCTGAGATGGACAGTGAAACATGAGGCTTCTAACAGGCAGAGATGGAGCAATGGGGAAGGATATTTCAAGCTAGAGTCTGCTTGAATCCTTTCTATAAAATCTTATGCCCCAGCCATTGTGTTTGTCTCCTCTGACTCCAACTCCAAGCCCCTGGATTTAAAGTCTTACCTTTTATTTCCAAGTTTATGCCTTTAGCTTCAGTTTTCTCAGCTCCCCTATAAAATGTTTGTTTGTTTGTTTCTTTGTTTACATACTTAAGTATATCAAGGAACCTATTTCCTAAAAGAACCCTTTGATAACAAGAAAATTGCTGCTAGCTTTCATTTGCATATGGTGATTCAGCATGACTGGTTTTTTGAGTTACTCTGGCCAGAAGTTTAAAGATAACACTAATTAGGGTTTACGATACATTAAGTAGAGTTACAGTGTTATTTTGTCAATCACTTTCACTCTAAGTGAACCCTGAAAACTAACAGGAACTGTACTCTGTCCCTTATTCAAATATTTCACCTAACAGTTTCAGATTTGTTCTCTGTAGTATGTGGAACTTCAAATGTTTTCCATTACTTGAGGTAGGATTAAGTGCATGGGGGAGGGGTGCCATACCACTTGTGTTTCAGAGGCTCGCCTTTCACCAAGTAGGCACTGCAGTAGTCAGCTCTTGCTAGGTCAGTGTACAATAACAAACAAACCTAAATCTCACTTTACTTCCTCCTCACATTACATGTCAGCCTCCGTGTTTTGGCTGAAGCTGCCCATGTGACTGCTCATTCTAGGACCCAGGCAGAAGGACCAGCCCCTCTTGGGGTGTGCCATTCTCTTGGTGGAGCAAATGAAAAATAGTGGGAAATAGTAATGGCCCTTAAAGCTTCCACTCAGAGTTGCCCTATTGTCACCTCCCCTTACATTTCATTGGCCAAATCAAGATCCATGCTTGTAAGCTTTGTAATTGCAATATGATAACATTTGGTGAAGAAAGAAGGAAAAACTCATTACTGGATCATAGCTAATCCTGAAAATGTCTACAAGGAGGTACTGCACATCACACAGCAGTGGGTAGGGCTGTTTTTTCCTTTAAAGGACAGCAAATATTTGGAAACAATATTTCAATCTACCACAGGCATTCAGTGGACTAACTTTTTCACTTATTTATGTAAATATATTTCTCAGGTTTTCCCTGTTTCCCCCCTCTTCAATAAATTGTGTTTTTCTAACTATAAGCTAATAATGGCAACACATAAATTATAGTCCTTTTAAGAGAGAGCTCTGTCTCCATTTTCAGATGAGCTCCACCAGGTCTCTCACAGCTGCTATTTATATCTGCATCAGGTCACTGGCTGGCTTTTACAGGGGAACCCTCTGGTTCTGTGTCCCCAAATAAGAGGAGGGGGAGGGAAGGATTCAGTATTCATTTATTTACAAATATTTTAAAGAATGCCTACTCTATGCCATGAGCTGTTGCAGAAGCTGGGGACAGAGGGATGAACTACATGGAGTCCTCCTCAAGTTTACACTAAGTACACAAGGAAAGTGATGTGAAGACACAGTAAGGAAAGAAGGGAAAGGGGAAGACAGTCAGAGAAAGTCTTTAGAGATGACACTTGAGCAGAACCTTCACTCAAATGAGGGCACGAGCTAGGAGTATTGGGGAGGAAAAGCATTCTCTGTGTAGTGCAAAGACCTTGAGGTGGGAATATACTTGGCAGGATTGAGAAACCTCATGTTGGCCAGCATGATGAGCTGAGTGAGTATGGTAGGACATAAAATAGTCAGGTAAGGACTATGCGTGGTGATGGGAAGCCATGAGTGGTTTAGAGCAGGGGGTGACATGATCTGATTTGTTTTAAAAAGATCGTTCTGGCTGCTGGTGTTAGTAGATTGTAGCAAGAGTGGAAGAAGCAAGGAAAGTTCTATTTTCTACAGTGTTATCCAATACAGACATTATTCTTAATGCCTTTGGTTCCATAGGTGGTATTTATTGTACATGGGTTTAGGAGATTCATGTTTGTGAGCCTTGTGATTACAATATGACATTTTTCTGAAGCAAGGGGAAAAAAGATCCAACATCAAATCACATTATTTTAGAAAAGAGAACTAAGGTAAGACTCAGCTATTAGTCAGGAAAAACTTAAAATGAATAGAAACCTGAGAAATATATTTATATAAATAAGTGAAAAAGTTAGTCCATCTCTTATAGAGAAAATATATTCAATGTATGTCTGACACCCCTTATTGGGAGGTCAGGGAGGAAATCTGCATAGATTAAACCAGTCAGACACTGCTTTAAAAGCTCTTTCTGCCTAAGAAGCAAAACAAAATAAGTCGTAGTGCAGAAGAAAGTCCTTAGAACAAACTATATCTGGGTGGCCATGGTACTCTGCTTTGCTTGTTGAGGAACTCCATTTTGTCAGTTTCCTCAGGAGTGATGCCCCGAGGTATAGCAAGAATTCACAAGAGATCTGAAGTTAAGCCAGAATACCTATATATATGACCTTACAATAAAATAGAGAACCATCAGATGAATCCAAATATTTATCTCATCCAGTCAGAGTACCAACTCCCTGGACTGTGTTAGAGAACTTTTGTTTTTTCAAGTACTGTGGACATGGTCACAGATTATCTTACTTTAAGGCATTTGATGAGATTTAGGAAACATTTCTGTCTGATCAACAATAGAAAGTATGCTAGAATTTGAGTTAGGATACCTCTGCTTTATTTCTGCATCTCCAATTACTGGCTGTGTGACCTTTTGCAAATTAATCTTTCTGTCTTAGTTTTCTCATCTAGAAATAGAGGTCACTAATATATTCTTTGCAGGGTTGTTTTGAGGATTGGATGACATGTTCACAAATAAAGTGTTGGATGGTGCTTGGTGTGGATTAAGTACTCAGTAAATATTAGTTGAACCTGAATTCTGTAGGAAGTTGCTCTCAAAAACCTGTTATTGCCATTTGAGAAATTGATTCACGCTGAGATGCTATAGAAAATAAGATTCAGTGGCAACAAGATTTAATGTTGACAGCCTTTGTGGAGAAAGTGAAGGTTCCTATGGCCAGGATTCTCACCTGGCCCTGCTCGGCTGGCTCACTACACACATGTGGGCATATGTTGTTTGACTCTATATAAAGAACTCCACCCAGTGCTCCTGGCTGCTGCAGGGCTGCGGGGCTGCAGAGGCTGGAGTAGTGGCAGCACCGAGGACAGAGGCAGAGACTGGCTTGCTGCATGCAGACTTGCTCTGAGTGGATGGGATTCTAGTGATTGACCTGCCATCATGGGAATAAAGTTGGGTATAAACCCTTTCACCCCAAGAACATCCACTGTCATTTTTGCAGTTTAATTGAATCCATAGTGAACTTGTCTGGAGCTGAAACCCATTGGCAAAACAGTCTTCTAAGAAGTTTCTTTGCAAATTGGGAGGGTCATTTTTTTTTTAACTCCAAATCATCAGTGATTTCCATTGCTGGTATTAGTGGGTGCCAGTTGCATGAAATTCCAGGGTGTTTACTTTACCTAGGGTGTTGCCTGCTCAGAAGGGAAGAAGTAAATGCCAGAAGAGATTTAACTATTAGCCATTAGGCTCCCACACTGGGTGTAGCTGGAATGTACCTCAAGTGGGCACTTTAGTCCTCTTCCTGCTGCATTTTTTGAAAGGTATACCAACCCTGAACCTTACTCTTGTGAGTGGTTTACTGCTATAGAGCAGGCCAGGAAAATAATCAGTGGGTGACTTGAATGAGTGTTAAGCCATTACTGTTCCAGCTCCTCAGAGCCCTGCACAAAAGGCAGCCATTTCAGAGGCCACCATGGAACTGTTCCTCTGAGGGTGTTCCTGCTCTGTCTTCCCCTCCAGACTACCCATCTGCTCCAGGCTTATACTGTGAGCAGCGCTTCTATTTTTTTTTCTCCCATCCACATTAGCCCAGCATCACTGCCTGGTGTAGAGCTCGAAACTGAAATAGGAGGGTGGATGGGAATATAGGGACTATTGCTGCGACATCATCCCTAGTTAAATGCCTAAGGAAGTCACTAAGGTCACTACGCCCTTGAGATGACATCCGCCTGATTTATGCCCCTCTTATACTCTTCGTCTTTGTCTACTTATCAGTTTTTCATGACAGCTCTCAAGGACTCGATGTCATTCCCTGCATTAGCAACGAAGAGTACAACAGGAGCCCGGCTTCATGTGCCTCCTTAGCAAAATCAAAGAGGAAATCTATACCAAAGAGGCTCTAGTTGCTGTTTATAGCTCCCAAAGGTCGAGGGGAGATATTTCCACTAGTAGAGAGGGTTGCTTCAGGCTGGTGGTGTCCGCACTCTCTTCCAATCCAGCCGACTGTGAAGCCCAGGGTCTGCACTGGGCTTCGCCCCCTCACTCGAACTACAACTCCCAGGAGTCCCCGAGACCCGGAGAGTGCGCACGCGCGTCGGCGGCGGAGGGACCCAACCCCACAGACCGCGCGGTAGAGGTGGGGACGCCGCTGTCGGTGGAACCGGGCAACTCCCTGGGAGGCAGACACGGGCATACCGGCTGGTGCTGGTCACCGAGGGGCAGGCTGTCCCCGTAGGTCTGGGAAGGAGGTCGGTGGCCCCAGCGAGTGCCAGTCAGGTAAGGCCAGCCCGGTGCTTTCCAGGAAGTCAGTCTGCGGGCGCGGGCAGAGGGAGTCGCACCAGCCATGGTGGCTGAGGAGGGAAGGACTGCCGTCTTCCTGCCGCCGGCACGGTCTCCGGCCCTGCCTGTCGCTCTCCGGGAGCTGGGAGACGCCGGGGGCTGCTTCGGGGCGAGCGGGCCCGGGTGGGGGCCACGGGGCGCTGGGCGTCGCCCGCGGGGAGGCGCGCGAGCCCCCGGTTGCTGATGAATCACTTGAGGGCCGTCCTCCCCGGGCTCGGACCGGCAGTGCGAGCTCGCCCTGCCTGCCCGTCCCTTCCGACCCGCCGAGGCGTCACTCAGCAGACGACTGCCTTAAGAGCGCTTTCTCACCAGGACTCTTCAAAGATTTCTGCTGGTTGAAAGTTGGAAAGAAAAAAAAAAAAAAAAGAGGGCACACCCATTTTTTTCTGGATTGAAATCTGGCTTGTCTTGCATTCGCCGTCTTGGTCTATCTTAGAATAAATTCCTGGCTCCTGTGCAGCACAGCTGGATCGGGCTGTGAAGTTTGTTGTTTGAGGACGTGACTGGGTGGTTGTATTTTTTGCTTCCAGATATTGGTGTATTTATTTCCTCTGCAAACCTGCAATATGATTACAAACAGCCGCAGGCTTTTTTTTCTTTTCTTTTCTTTTTAAATATTTAGTTAAGAATCGCATTTCCAGCTTGCCCTTGGCTTCTCTTACAAACCAAAAGTCATCTGGTAGTGAACACTGCAGTACAACTTACCCAGGAGGTCATACTTGAACAGGAAATAGGCCTGTGGAGATTTAAATTAGTTATGTGCGGTCTCCCTTGGTTTGTAACATTTTCGTGCAGCTCATGTTTCTTTTTCTGAGAATTCTTCAGATTAACTTTTTGGCAGATTAAGCTGCTTAATTGGCCTGTCAAAAAAATATATTAGGCTTAGAGAAATAATTTTGTCCAGCCTTTGCTGGTTTCTACTTCCTGGTTCTTGGCAACTTTTTATCCCATCAGCTTCTTTAAGAGCCTACAATCATTTTTGTTATAATAGAATCTCCTTACTAACGCATTACTATGAAAGGAATAAAAAGGGAATTAAAATGTAAGATCTGAAACATGTTCTTAGTTTGCTTACTTTTGAATGTCACAGTTCTAGTTAGCTCATTTTTAAATGAGGTTACTGGACCAGATGACCCCAAGATTATTCCAGCCCTAAATATCTCAGATTTTAGAAGTTCATTTATTTTATCTATTCAGGAAACCTTGGCCACACTTGTCATTCCAAGTCCTGGTCTTGGCATGAAGGGGCAGATGATTTCTTGAGGATTTTACTGATCTAATGATCAATTTCCTTTAATCATACTTTTATGACTAATTCCAAAGTTTCATGGTATACCCTCCAGGCCAAATTATTCTAATTAAAGCTCCACCTTAATTTAAATACATACAGGTGAAATCCATTAGAATTATTTGTTTCACGCTAATTGGATTTTTCGAGTCCCAACTACTGGCCTATTTAAATAAAACTGAGGTTTAGTACAACAGAAAGGACTTGAACGGTGAAGGTGGTGCTTCTCAAATGTTAACGGGCATAAATCACCCAGGATCTTGTAGGTTTGAAGTGGGGACCTAGAATGTGCATGTCAGAAGGGAATACTGTAGTTGCTGTGGGAGATCACACTTTGAATATCAAGGGTTGGGAGATGTTTTAAAGTGTTTATAATAACAGTTTAAAGACTGTTGCTGATAGCTGTGATGTTAGATGCATATTAATGGCTTTTCCAACTGTCAGTTTTTAAAAATAATCTTGTTCACTCTAACAAAAATAATCGCTTTCACAAGTTTTCTTTTTTCCTCTTTTTCTTCTTCATGTTTTTTCTTTTTTCCTTTTTCTCCTTTCCTTCTCTTTCTGTGCTGTATTCTCTCAGCTTCTTCTCTTCCTCTTCCACCCTCAACTCTTCTCATTCACAGTAATTTGGTAACTCACTAATTCAACAAGTATGTGTTTTGCCGCATCCTGTAGAAGGCACTGTCTTAGACTCGAGGTGAATGCAGACATGTAAGACATGTTTTTTATCTGGGAATTTACTCTCTGAGATTAGGCATGTGTGCTTGTTTGTAGTTCAGAGCACTGCAAGAGCCATCTACAGGGAGTAAAACTGTGCAGTAGGAGTTCAACTTTTACAGTTGTGGGGTGGGAAACAATTGGAGTCACCATTTTTCCCCCATTCATTGGCCATCCCTGTCCCACCAGGCTGAACTGTCTATACTGTTGGAGTGTTTGTGACATACCTACAATAGAATACAGTACAATTTTGTAAATTTATTTGTTTGGAACCCGGGGTGAGCTGAATATCTGAATATTAATTAGATCTAAGCGGTGTCATAGGGTGGGTGAGAGGTGATGGGGATAAAAATATACCTGGGATGGAGCAACAGAGGGAGGGGGAAAGATGAAAAGGTAGAAAGACTAGGGAAGACCTAGTAAAACAGGAGGAGGGAAAGGGCTCAGTATGTTTTCAGATGCCAGTCTAATGTGATCTACTCTTGTTATTTAGGCTGTTATTATCTTCTAAAGATCAGATTAGCTGGCAAACTATTTTTCATGCTTTTCAGTGGCTCATAAGTCTAATATGTATGGCTTCTCTTTTGATTAAAATAGTTGAGGGCGTTATTCTCCAGGCTGTAATAGTGGCTAACACACTCTCATCCTCCAGACCTCAGCCTTCCTTGCTGACATTTGATTTACATACCTTACTTCTTATTGATCAATTTTACTTCAAAGCGTCTAAAATCACAACTATAAAATCATTGAGAGATAAATAGTATAGGAAACAGAATTCTTCTGGACCTCTAATAGTCCATTAGGTACATAAAAAAATTGAAGAATCAAACTCGATTTGCTGTTTGTGAGAAATTGAACATGAACACATACGTTTATGTCAATCTATGTGTCTGTAATCCGTTTAGGTTATTTACAAAAATGAAGGACTAGAAATGTGAATAATCTCAAGTAGCATGTGTGGTATTCTGGAATTTCATTTGAAACAAAGTCACTAACCTGTATGCCACTTTGCATTTTTTTTGTTGAGGTGTAATTAGCATTCAGTAAAATGCACATGTCTAAGTATCCAGTTCAAGGAGTTCTGACAATTTCATACACTATAACATCTACCAAAACAATATAGAAAACATTTTATCATGCCTCTTCTGGACATTTCCCTCAGCCACCACCCTCCAAAAGCAAACACTTTCTGACTCCATACTACTGGCGTCATAGATTTGTTTTTGCTAAGTCTTGGACTTAACATAAATGGAGTCATACAGTAATACAGCTTTGTTGTACCTGGCTTCCTTCATGTAACATGATGTTTTTGAGATTTATCTGTGTTGTGTGTATCAGTGATTGTTCTTTTTTAATTTTTTATTGATGATTAGTATTCCATTATAAGAATATACCCCAATTTATGTATCTGTTTTTCTCATGATGGATAATTTGGGTTATTCCAGGTTTGGGATATTAGGCGTAAAGTTGTTATGAACATTGTTTTATGAGTCTTTTGTGGATATATGTTTCTATTTCTCTTGTTAAATACCTAAGAGTGGAATTACCCAGTCATAGGGTAATGGATGTTTAACTTTATTAAAAAACTGCCAAACAGTTCTCCAGAGTGGTTTATGTATGAGTTTCAGTTGCTGCACATTTTTAATGTTGACCAACTTTAATGCTGTCAGCCTTTTTAATTTTAGCCACACTAAATGATGTGAAATGGTACTTCATTATGGTTCTAATGTACATTTTCTTGATGATTAAGTATGTTGCATGCTTTATGTGTTAATTAGCTATACTATATCTTCTTTTGTGAAGTACCTGCTTAAGTTTTTGACTGTTTTTTCATTGGATCGTTCATCTTTTTCTTGTTTGTAGGAGTTCTTTATATGAGTACAAGTCCTTTGCCACATATATGTATTGACAATATTTTTACCCAGTCTGTGACTTTTCTATATATTTTCTTAATCTTGTTATGATCAGAAATTTTTAATTTTATGAAGTCTGTTTTATGAATTCTTAGTTTTATGGTTACCATTTTTTGTGTCTGGCCCACGGTTGCAAAGATATTCTGTTTTCTTACAAATCTTTGTTGTTCTAGACTTTACACTGAGGTCTGTGATCCATCTCAAATTAATTTTTTGTGTTATGATGGGAGGTAGGGGTTTAGGTTCACATTCCCTTCGTACAGATAGATATCTAGTTGTTCCAGCAACATAGATTTAAAAAACTTGCCTTTCTTGGTTAGATTGACTTGGTCTCAGTTGAAAGTCATCTGAGCAACTTTGTATTTTAGTGTGCTTATATTGTTAGTTCTTAAGCACGGAGCCCTGAATCTTTAAAAATACAAGAACACTTTATGTACCTCTTCCAGGCTGCAGCTAAACAGATTGATGCAGGGCTGGTTACCATATATTTCCTGATGGAGGAATGCTGATAATGAATTTGAAGTTTAAATGGCTTTCCTGTGGGTTGAGTTAATGGAGTCAACCTTGGTACAGTAGCAGTTGTACCCTACCCATAAGCCAGACAGATATTGGGAAGGAGGAAGGTAATTAAAGCCCAGGAAGATCACCTAGGACTCTATTAGAGCAAGCTGTAAATAGCTTAATAATTTTGTTTATTGACTTGGTCAAAATAGATATATATGACCCATGCATTTTAGTTTCCATCTTTCCACTACGCTACTCCAGTCCAATCCTTTAATGACACAATTCCTGAATTTGTCTTGGCATAATGTCCAAGGAGACTTGTTGGTATTTTTTCTTCAGATTTTATTGACTAACACAATAAAGTGATAATATTATTTTTAAAAGAATGTCACCTCAACCGTAGCACTCTAATGTAAATACTTAATTTTTCCTCATTTCCTTCCAGGTTTTATTCATCCACATACATATATTTATATGGTTGTAAGCATAGTGTACATGTTCTCTTGTGTTTGGAC